AATGTTCTTGCACCCAAATGTACGGCACCTAATTGTCATTGCGCCCAATTGTCACGCACCCAATTTTCCGTGCCCAAATGTCCACGCCCAATTGTCCAGCGCCCAAGTGTCGTACAACCGTATATCTATGATCAGGAGGGACGACTCCCACCTGGGAGCAAAGGAGCCACCAGAATACGCTTCTTGACCGCTCTCTCACTACAACATGCAGGAACTTTCTTGTTAGCCCCCCTAATCCCTGGTAGGTCCCACCATGACTTGTCATGCGTGTCAAAAACTGTCCAGAGTAACTTACGCAGTGTAAGGTCACCGATACTTTGCCTGTACACAAGAAAGTCTGTGTCACAGAATTTTGAGACTTTTTATTAGAATATTACATAATATCATTATTATAATCTTATAATATGTCCACGTCCTTTAATTATATAACTCATAGTATTTCCATAATCTCTATTATTATGCATGCGCTCATTAAATATTATAATGACAAAAACACTGTTATGTAATACTAGTCCCCTGACCTCCCCCACATGTAGTGTGCATCTCGTCGGTGTCGCAGCGGGCGCTCCGCCGTTGCTGTCGGCCGTCGCGGTCGCAACCGCTGGCGCATACGGACAGGGCAACCTGTTTCCCCACTATATGTATTATACGAAAGTTCCCGACGCGACGACACTGACCGCCCCTTTACCCAAGAATATCAAGACGCCGGAACGTCCTACGACCAGTCACCGACGTCTACTGCTGCACTGTCTGTTTTTCGCCACCATCGATGACCGATCATCTCCTGTGTTCGTTTTTGTTTCTGCTCATCGCCATTGACTCTCGCAACACGTCTTCCGGACTCGAAATTTTTGTTATTTGTTTTCACTATCGACGGAATACCACCATGATGGGCTGAAGCGACGTCATAGGCCCGTGGCGGGCGAAGCCATCTCCAACATCGTCAGCTCAGTACAAACAGTCGTCGTCAAGTATTGTTTTCCCCCTAACATTTCCATTTTTTTTTTTCATTCTGATTATGCATCATCATCATTTCTTTTTTATGTATACTCCGATTTTCCTAAGAGGAGCCCCGGTAACCGTCATGTGGAGCCGTGGGTCGTTTCCTTTTATACATATAAATGTATAATATATTAGATGTAGGTATGTCATACCGACATTATTATGATGATCATTATGTGCTCGGTAACCGCTCGCCGGAGCCGTAGTAGCATGATTATTTTTATTTTTATCCATTACATTTTCTTTGTAATTGCCATGGGCCGAAATATTATCCATTTTATATTTATTTTATTTATTTGATCATATTTCTTATGCATTTGCCATGTGCCAAATTATTATCTATTTTTTCCCCTGTATTTTATGCACTTTGCCGTGTGCCAAATTATTATCTATTTTTTGAATTGYAATTGCCATGTACCTAATGTYATATTATTTTATTCATGTTGTTTAAAACAAAAMATTTACTTATAACCGTGTAAAATATAACCATATGATTACCTTATACTTTGTCACATCTTTTTTTTATTAATATTCTTTTTACTTTCCCCTATTTTAAATAAATCTTTGGGATTCATTTCCCACTGCGTGTATAAAAGCCAGCAAGTTCCACCGACTTGGCCTTCGGGTCAACACGCGGTGCGGCCTGCAGGTCACGATGTAAGTGTTCCCCTTACATCGTGGGTGGTTTATAGAGCCTTAAAAACTCTATAATCTCACAATGTATTGATGTTACAATGATGTGTGTGTGTGTTTTTTTTTTTGTGTGTGTGTACAGCATAACTATATAGTCGAAATAATGGTTCAATTTCAAACTTTGGGGATGGTTTCCGGTGGAAAAGTGAATATCATTGGTGCATTATAAAGGTCAAAAATAAACATTTTCCAACAGTTTTCAAAAAACTCGAGAAAAACAAAAAAAAAGTGACAGAAAAACTGGAATTTTTACAAAAAACCAGTTTTCGACCAAATCGATTTTTTTATAATATGGTTGTGATTCAAAAACTAATCACAGTAAATAATACTTGACATTTTCACCAAATGTTTATGTTAGTGTTATATATATACAGTTTAATTTTCAAAAATTTTTGACTTTTTTTGAGTTATTTATAGACCACTGAAATTTTTGATTTTTATGAGAATTTTTTTTTGAAGTGTCGGTAAAAAAATTTTGCATGACCAAAAAAACTTGAAAATTTAATACAAGGTTCCTTATGGTTTTTTCTTATTGTAGCTCAAAAAATTAAAAATCGTAAGTCACAATTTTTGTGTCAAGGTTCCTTATTAGTTTTTYTTCAAGTAGCTACGGAGAAAACTCGAAACATCATTATAGGAAAAATTTTAAGTGCGTTTGAATTTTAAATTTTTACGATAAAGCGTAACGATTTATCCTCAAACGATTTTAAATATTTGTAATTATTCAAAAAGTATAAGTCTTAGATACTTGAAAATTTCACAAGTTATTTATATTAGCATTTTATTTACATGATTTAATTTTCAAAATATTTTGACTTTTTTGAGATATTTATAGACAACTGAAATTTTCAATTTTTCYGAATATTTTCTTTTGAAGTGTCGATAAAATTTTTTTGGCTCTATCAAAATACTTGAAAATTTAATACAAAGTTCCTCATAATTTATTCTTATATTGATTAAAAATTATAAAAATACATAGGCACAATTTTTTTTATTAGCATTTGAAGTTCAAATATTGACTTAATACGTAAAAATTACGGCAATTTTCAAATAATCTTAGATAGAAATTCATAAAAGTTTTTCTTTTTAAATCTAAGATTTGAAAATTTAATTCAAGGCTCCTATCWTATTTTTACAATAGCAGTTGAAAAATAAAAGAAATATATATGCATATTTTTTTTTAAAAGCATTCAAAGTTTGAATTTTGACAATATACGTAAAAATCACGAAAATTCGCAGATTATTTTAAGCTAGAAATTCATAAAAAAATTTCTTTTGAAATCTAAGATTAAAATTTTTAATAATCTATAATATATCCTAGGCAGATAAACCGTCTTCATTCAGAATCGTTTATCGTATACAATGATAGGTACCTATCATTGCATTAAAATTTAACCTACCCTAGTCAGAGGTCCACCTCACCCCCAATGTACAGCAGAGCGATACCCACTTTTACCAGCTTTTGTTTAACTTGTTTATATCTATTTCATCGTGGAAATTTATATTTTATGATGGGTTTTTTCCCGTTATCTTTGATGAAACTATATATTTTTATGAGGAAAATTAACTTTTTCAATTTTTTTACTGTAGGTAGTTATATTAATGAATAATGATATTAAGAAGATAAAAATATATTTATTATGTTATTTTTGTTTACCATCTTAAGGTATTMAGAAACATTTATTGAAGATATTAAATTTATGTTTTTTTGTGTGAAGATGAAAATTATTCAATTTTACTTAAATTTTGAGGTGTGCATAGAATAAAGAATTTTCCCAGGATTTTGATGTTATTTTTTTCATTTCCATAGGGAATTACTACGTGTAATTTGTATAAAGTTAGTCGCAACAAATCATGAATTTAATTGTTCCTCATTTTTTGTTAAAATATTCCACTGAAACACAGACATGATACATGAACAATGAACATAATAATATATCTAAATATACAGTTCAAATATTGTATCCAACTATATGCTTATATAGTTATATATATGAATACATTATATTTTTAAATGMTTAGATATTATTAATAATAATTATTGTTGATTATAGAAATAAAAATTATTTAAAAACAGAAATTTCTAAAATATAACACGTGTCTATATTTTTCGAGTTTATGGGAATAAAAAAATATSACAAAAATAATAATAAAAATAGGTAAAATGTTTATAATTACAAATTATAATACCTTCCTATTGGCTATTAGTTATTACCTACCAACAAATATTTTTTGGCGTAAGCAAAGCGATTAATGTATTGTTTTAACAATTATGTATCTTATTTCCAACGCGTATAAACAATTAATTAGACTTTCTAGTAAACTTTYTTTTGTTAAATGTAGAAAAACTTCCCAAAATAGGTACCAATTATATTCATTTTTTTTATCAAAAAATATGCTGTTGATGAAAATTGAAACTTTTTAAATTTCCTAAAACGTGATGATCGACACAAAAAAAAAACGTATCATTGTGAAACCTATATCATTCTTGGTTCCGCTTAGAATCTAAAATGACAAACAAAATTTTTAAGCTCGCATACTCAATTTTAATTTTGAAAATGTGTTAAATTTTGTCGTATATTTATAAGCAGTTTATTTTTTGTGAAATTCTTCGCCTTTTTTGTCGATGTATTCCATCAATCGTAGATTATTAGGCTCATATTGACCATTAGGTGATTTAATAGTACGTAAAAATTGTACTACTGAAATGGCTTGCATTTCATCGAAATCACTAGAGTCTGCCTCTGGTTTAGATGCCAACAGTACAATGAAATTGATTGCTTCTTCAAGATTATCCATGAGATTTGTGTCATTAGCTGGGGCAGTTTCGTCCAACCATTTTTCGTAATCGTTTTGCACTTGTCCTACATGCAGATATAAATATTAATTATAAAATTTTTTAAAAAATAATTTAAAAAAGTTAAGTATTTAAACTAAAACGTTATAAAATATTTACAGTATAGGTACCCAATGAAAAAATATTGATGATAAAATTAAAACCATTATGTCTATATTTAACCATAATGCTATATAAAAGTATGTATTTGAGATTTCAGAGTTTTCTTTTTTAATACTAACAATTTTTTACAATTAATTTTCCTGCAGAGTATTCGCACAGTCCTTAATCGATAATTTTAATAAACAAACATAAATTGTTCCCAACAAAAAGAAAAAAATTGTAAATTGCATCCAACACATTTCAGGCATATATTTCTATGTGGTGATTTGTTTCAGCAAACAATTAATTAATATAACCTGTATTATATGTAGGTACGATGGCCGTTTAACATTAATCGAAATAGTGGCGTAGTCAGGAGGATGAAGGAGGCTTTATCCCCCCTGTAGACCATGTTTTTTTTTCGGTGCGTACTAATATAATTTCCATGGCCATGGCCCACCCTGCGAGCTGTACTGTATTTGTTGTATAGGTATATTGTGACCTGATAATTTTTTTGTCATGAAACTTAGATAATAAAATTACAAATTATAATTTTCAATAATAATAATTAATTAAATGGATTTAAAATTGAAAAATTTAATTGGTTAAATATTTTAAAGTATCTCTTGAAGTATCTAAATCATAATTGAATTGGCCCACCCTGCCAAAAAGGTCTGCGCGGGCGTAACACGTTTCCACCAAAAGTAGACCTTTCTTTTTTCCACCTAAGGTGTATCTTTCCCTTTTCCACCAATATCCGTTACCACCGAATGAGATCWACCAATAATTAAACCACGGTTAATTTACCAAAATAATTTGTATTTTATGCTTATATTAAAATCTTTAATACAGTAATAAGTTTATTTAAAATACTAATGCTGGATTGAAAAAATGATATATTAGTGTATTTAGTTATGTATATATTGTATCTAAATATCTAATTATATAACTATAATTGGTTGATATTTTTTTTTCAATCGTAGAATATAGTAGTATACAATTGTTTTTGTAAAAACGTAGTAAATAATTGTATTTGGTGGAAAAGGGAAAGATACACTTTTGATGGAAACGGGCATCGCTCGTCTGCGGACGCCTATGGTTCCATATAATAAGGTATAATACTAATCGTGTCCCGGGTTTTTCTCGAGCACGGTTGAATTGCGTCCCTATTATGGGCAGAATACTCGGCTACAACTATACGAACTACTAATAGTTGTGAAGCTTTTCATTCGAAGCTCAACGCTATGTTTTATAATGCTCATCCAAACATTTTTCAATTTATAAATATTCTGAAAAGGTCACAAACTGATATTTATATAAAACAACGGAGCACTTACTTAAAGAACCGTACAATCTCGATAGTTAATAAAAAAAAATTTTAAAACAAGCAATGGCAAATTTTCAATCAAAAAAAAAAATTAGTAGATTCGAATTCATAAATTAATTTATAAAAAATGAAAAAATATGGGTGAGTATGTTTAGTTCTTAATTTTTTTTTGTTTGCTTAATTTTTTATAGAGCAGTAAAATAGTAAATAATAATAAAATATAAATTGTCTACGCCTATATGGCTATATGTATATAAATGTACAATAGTGTTTAAGATAGATATTGATGAATTCGGTGTCGCTTAGATAATATAGGTGCAGTTTATTATAGATAGTCATTTTAAAAACCAAAAAATGACGGACGTAATTTACTATACTTGCCAGTTTAAAAAATTGAAAAATGCATWATGCAATTGACTACACTAATTTTTCACTGTGGGTGCCATTTACAATCGCTCTATTGAAATTCACACTCATCACACAAAATTAATTACGATGTACAAAACTTTGAATCAAACTATTATTATTTTTGTTTAAAAAGCTTAAGTTATATAACTGTTTAAGCTTGATTAATAGCTAAATATTTAATAGTTAATATTATTATTAATATTAAAATATTACAATTTGTATGCAAGTTATATTATTTATATATTTATACCAATATCTTCATTCTCAATTAGACATTTGTCAAATAGCGATTCCTGAGAAATTTTTGGCAAATTTAAACTTCTTATAGGGGTTATTATTGGTGGTGCTGGATTTTTAACAACCGACTTTTCAGTCTTAAATTTATTCTTCTCCATATCCTCTACTCTGCTTATGATATTTCGATATTGATCAAATTGGAGTACTTTATTTTTTTTCTCTTTTACATCTAATTTGATTTTCAAGAAACCACCGGGTCGAGGAGTTGGTCTAAATAGAAATAAATTATGTATTTAAGTGTCACACTGTCTCACAACAAAAATTTAAGTATAATTACGTGAAACCCATTTCTGTAACTTTCTTTTCTTCGGGTTGCTTAGTCGACATTTTTAAGTCTGTTAATTATTTTCTCTTAAAATGTATATTTAAAAAGAAATGTTCAAGTACTTAATTTAGATTTAATRAACGRTTTAWTATTTTACCTGCTAAAATTTCATACGACGCTATTAGTTTATTTATATAAACATTCTAGACATATACATGGTTATACATAATTTTATGTTTAGCCAGTACGTAAATATTAATTTTTATAATTATTATTTATTATTGAAGCTCACAATCATAATAATTATAMAAAATAAATATATTTTTATTTATTTAAAACGTTATTTTATTTTTTCGTATAATAGGTATTATTAACTCATAAATTATTTTTAAATAATGTTTTTTATTTTTATTTTTTTAGTTAGGTACCTATATCTACCTATTATAATTATGACAAAGGCTATTAAATGTTTTATTGATAAAAAATGTTGAAAAATATTATTATTTTTACTATTTTCCATTTCAATGGAATGGTAGCTGGTAAATTTTACATATTTCCGACTAGCTTGAAGTAAACAATTATTGGTTGCTCTGAATAGTAAATTATAACTAGACTTGAATATAAATCTATTTATAATAATATTGTCTGATCACTAAAAAAAGATTGACTCTCGTAAAATAATATGAGAGAGGTAGGTAACTACTTATATGATAAGTGAGATCTGAAAAAAAAAGTTTAATAGAATTATTAAAATATAGGTATATTATATTATTCTTAAAGATACATTTTTATTTATTAAATAAGGTACTTATACAAAATAGAAAATAAAGAATCTGACGTAACTTATAACTTATAAGTTATTATGACATTCGAAAATCGCAGTATTCGAAATATTTTCATCATATTATACAGTCAAATATGTGCATAATATTAAGGCGATGCGTCATAGTGCATAGACACTTAGGCAACATATTGTTTCTATTTCCTATATCTAGGTATTGTAAATTTTTACAGAACAATATCGTAAATTAATATGCGGCTGTGTAATAACACACCTAGGTACTACACACTATGTAGTCTACATAGTCGATTATTATAAAAAACATATATTTTATAGTTGTAATGTTTTATCTTATTTATACATTCTTGTTTAGATAATAATATCAAAAATTACAACTGTATGTAGATCTGTAAACTGTTGTTGGGTAATATTTATGACTTAAATTTACTTCATGTTCGAACGCGGAACGCTGTGCGACAGCATAAACTTGCTCCGGAYGGCAGACACCACAGCTGCGTGGTGGCGGAGATAAGTGTCGTCCAGCAAGTTCCCCCTCCCCCCACCATCACCCGGCGACGTTATTGTCTTATATAAACGCTTAGCAAAACACGTGTAGCTCTGTTCGTTTAAAATGTAGAGTGAATAAAATTTAAAGGTAAGATTATTATTTAGACAACCTCATAGGCTCATAATTTAATTTTTAAGCAAGTTATGAGTATTTTAAAATTGTAAATAGTTTTTACATAAACTACAAAAAGTTATTCGTAAAACTGATTCCACAAATACTTAGTAGAAAATATTTGTCCCTCAAGTTAGACAACTCAACATACACTGTTTCATATGTTTTATATATATATATATATATATATTTATTTACCATCAGTTATTAGGTAATAGCCAATAGGTATCTATATTTTATAGCGTTTATTAAATTATAATCAGTTCAGTTTATTGTTTAATGTGAATCTACTGTTTTTTTTTTATCTGTTACACTCTATGACTTCACGATACCGACTATATACCGAAAATATGACAGTATATTGCATATCCCAATAAACATCACGGTGAATATGAACAAATATAAGACCCGGATCATATCGAGATCCTAATCATACATATAGATATATATTTAAACAACTATTGGATTTAGTTATTTCGGAATCAAATTATCGAGCCTTGATCTAAAAGTCCTGATTATAGGATTTGTCAGTTATCAAAAATTCGAAAAAWAWWATAATATTAATTTTAAATTATAAAATTAATGTTAATAAATAATAATGTTATGCTTATGCTAATATATTCATGAAATCCATAAAAACATTTCTTTATAATTCTAAGGTTTGAAAATTTAATACAAGATTTCTTACAAGTTTGTCAAACTTTATCATAATATAAATATCCACCAGAAAGTCAAATTAAATTTTTATGAGTGTTTGAAATTAATTAAACGACCAAAAAAATGTCCTCCGGAAAGTCAAATATTTTAATAAGTATTAATAATAAGTAATCTGGTAATCATAATCTATAATATCATTGGATTCAAATTTAATTCCATCTATTACTTAACCGACTACATATTGTTACAATAGCAGTTGAAAATTAAAACAAATTCATACTTACAATTTTTTTTTATAAGCATTCAAAGTTTGAATTTTGACAGAATACGTAAAAATCACAAAAATTCGCAAGTTATTTTAAGGTAGAAATTCATAAAAAAAATTTTTTAAATCTAAGATTTGAAAATTTAATAAAAGATTCCTTATAAATTTGTCAATCTTTACCATAAAAAAATGTCCACCAGAAATTCAAATTAAATTTTTGTGAGGGTTTGGAATTAAAATTTTTACTCTTAATCCAGCGGATTGATTAGAATTTAGGAACACATTATTTTKCTATTRCGCTTAAACCATGAACTTAAACTTAAACTTATAGTTAACCTACRTAACCATGCCCTAATCATAATAATGAGTGATTATGATAAAAGTCAGTTATCAAATTTATCAGTTAGATAATTATTAAATGTTTAAAATACTAATAAAATAATCAATAATAATTTATTAATCGCCGATTTTTTAATTATTCTTAAAATGGATAATAGTACGTCCTTATTTGATTTGTTTTTTGGTTTAAATCATGTTCATGAAAGAAATAAGTCTTTAGATAAACAAAAAAAATTCTTCATCATCGCTTGTCGATTTTAATTCTAAAATACGTATAGCAAATTTTATGTTAGTCACAAGTATGTATGACGATTTGGATTTTAAAAGTCATTTTAGGCTTACAAGGAGTTCAATTGAAGTAATAGTAGAATAGTTATGGCCATAATGAATTTGAATTAAATTGTATACTTATATAATTTTGTTATTTAAATATAAGGTTTTAATGTGTAAAGTAAAACCATTTTATTTTCTACGCATGACCAAAGTGGGAAAATAAAAWTTTTTATTTGMGMACSCCTCAAACGCTACATACAAAACGCGAGTCAAACTCAATTGTGAATTGTGATGGAATTACTGTAGGTWGTAGGTATCTATGTCCTATGGTAAAAACTAAAAATAGAACAATACACAAAATTAAATTGAAATCATAAAGTTATCAGTACCTAATACAAATTTGGCGCGTAAATTCTTATCAAATCAATCGGGTACGTTACTATCCAGCCGGAAATTTTACGATTCCTGATAAAACAATCCGGTTGATTACCTCCCCTACAGCGGATTGAAAAACTGCTGTATTTAGGAACATCTAATTCCAGCGGATTACCAATCTGCCGAGTTTCGGAACATGAGGATTCCTAAATTCTAATCAACCGCTGGATTGGGTGATTAATTTAGGAGCACACGGACTAATAAACACAATGCAAGATATTTAATTTAAAAATATAAAATAATAATATACCAAGGTAGTATTAAAAGATTATCTACACGGAAAACTGTAAAACTTATCATAATATGTACTATAGTTGTAAGTTGTAGTGTTTCACATATTTTCTGCGTCATAGTTAACTGATATAGTTTATACGTATTTACGCATAATTGGTAAGGTAATAATAGGTATGTATAGATATRTATAGTTTTAATTACCTTATAGTTKTTATTCGGTCTAATATACGTTAATTATAATACATTAATATAATTATATATGTCGTCGATGTTATGCTAATATTATACATTGTTCAAATATTAGAATCGAAGAAGTCACTGATGAAATCCGACAATGTGTATATTAGTTTCTGCTTGTAAATGAAATTATAATTACTTGGCATTGAACAACAATCGACAAATGCATACATGAATAACAACGAWTTATAAATATTAAACTCGYCTTATACCTTGTTAGACAGCTGAACGAGAACATAAACGCCGCATACGCAGTCATTGTTGTGTGTTTTTGTAGTATGTATTAAAATATATTAACATTTTACTTTGGTATTCCACTAAATGATTATTTTTTTTTTCAGATTTTTTACTGAATATTCTTGTTCTTCACCAAAAATGTTGAAGATTTTCAGTTTCATATACTATTGGTATATGCGTTACTTGTTGGTCTCCGAACTGTATTTAGTAGAAAAATGGGAAAGGTGTTTGATACGTATCCTTTTTTAAATGTTATTTTATTACTACCGGTAGGCGGTATTGATAATTAATAGTAAAAAACCTTATAAAATCAGTATTGTGAGYGCATTTTTAAAGTTTCAAAAAACTATTTATTTAAACAGACATTTTAAAATAGGCATTATATAGCATGTAATAATTATAATTTTGGTTACCTACCATAAATGTTTATATTTCTATCATAGATCAGATGTATATTGTATAATCATAATCAGAGCTCGGATTCTATAGCATTTTCTACTAATTATTATTTTTTTAACGTATACAGATGAAATAACCAATTAACTGTAAATTATAAATTTGTTTATGCATCATGGATTCCAAATAAAGATTATATTTTGTTAATTTATCTAATAAGTAAAAKATGATAATTTGTTTTAAAAAAAAAGTATTCTTTATTTTTACTTTTTAGTTCATTTTATTGTGCATTGTGTGTAATTCATCATTTCCATTTATTATAACTTAGGACGTGTTATCTGCATGTGTTGTCTCCACCTTACAAGTGTGTAACAGCAAATTTTATGCTCAGCAGATCAAGTTTAGTACCATTAATATAAAATTTAGAGTGAATTGTTAACCTCTCATAAAATTTAAAGGCAAGATTATTATCTAGTCAATCCTTTAGAGTTTTTATMATATTTCCATTTCAACTMGAGTCAWGAATATTTTAAGATGTACAAACAATATATGATTTAAAAATACACATAACACGCTTATAAATAAAAATATAATAAAAAAAAACTACGATATTGACCAGATAATAATCTTACCTTTAAATTTTATAAGAAATTAATTCACTCTCAATTTTAAATTAATTGAGCTAAACATGATCTGATGAGCATACAATTTGTTATGTCACGCACTTGTAAAATGGAGATAGTACATGGGGTTGTCAGTCCTTTTAAAGAGTTTTTCTTGTGATTTAAATTCCAGGTCGTTATTAATGTCAACTAGGTACTCTATTAATAATTTAAGAAATAGTCATACTAAGAATGGTAAAAATTATTTGTTCATTTAATAAACTGTGTGTAATATGTTAACAAGCATTCAAGTTTTAAAATATATTAATTAATTGCAATTTAAGTTTATTTAAATAAAAATTATTAAATATATAAAATGTGAAACAGTATTAAATAGCATTCATAAAATACTAGAAAAATGTAGATGGTTTAGATGTGTACAATTATTAATCAAAAATATATCAAACCTAGAAGTTCTGAATCTTATATAAATCTATATTCAATAAAATAAGTCTCATCTAATATATACAGTTAAACAATACATATTTTGGTGTACCAATTTATTTGATAAATGATAAAAGTGAAATGCAATGTTGGTGCATTGAGATTAACCGTAAGATAATCAAATGTATTATTAATTCATTAGTCAAACAGTCATTATGATATTTTAACTACTTATTAATTGTTAAATATTACATTATACAATATTTATGGTAGATTTTTAAAAAAGCTGAGTTATTTTAAAAATTTTCTTAATAAATTAAATTCAGATACCATAATGTTTATATTATTCTTTGGATTGTGGTACATGAATAAAGTATTTATTGAATTTATTTCAAATTATTTAGCATAACAATAAGTTAATATAAGACTTGCTGTCAAGTTGTAAAATCTTTAAAACATGAAAAAAGCTGCATCCATGAACAAGGAAATATTTTCAACCTTAATATACAACAAATATGGTCATTTATAAAATAAAGAAAACATTTATTTTTATTCCATGATATTGTGTATTGATTTAAAAAGACAAGCCAATACACAAATAAAATCTAAATATTCTAGCATACAAATAGTTTAACATAAAAATAGTTCAACATAATAACATAACAACAGTTTTGGTTAATTAGATACCTAAAAAGATATTAAATTTTGTGCGTAAGCAAAACATAAAGTATGTTCTGTAGTGTCGGTTAATGTTATAAGCGTTATGTGAATTTTTGTGATAACAATGTTTTTATCTAAAATTATAAATTATATTATATTTTAATTAATATATATTACAGTAATCATAATTAGTAATAATATTTTTAAATTCAGTGTTTTCTTAAGTATGGTTTGTTAAAATGTAAAGAATTAATATTAAATGTTATAATAAGAAGATATTCATTCTTGATAGTAATWAATAATTAATAGTACTAAATAATGCTACAGTAGTAAAAAAAAGTGAAAAGGAACTTAAAAGAACTATAAGATCACTAAAATGAGAAAGATTCAAGTATTTTTAATTATTATTTATTTAGGTATATTTAAATTATGTAATCAATAACAAAATAATACTCTATTATAGAATATGAAGTAATATGATAATAGGACATATTATAGAAATACAATTTTTTWAAATAATTTAATTAACTAACAATGTAATTCTAGGCACTAACCATAGGTTTCAATAATCTAAATATCCATAAACAAGGTTGTACTTAATTAAATTTTTTCTAAGAAATATGAAAATGTTCAAATTATTTTGTTTTTTTGTTCGTATGACGTTGTCACGGACGGGAGTAGACACGAAGTCCTAGTTCGGACGCCTATTTGGCAGAATTTCTATTGGGGGCATCCGTAGGTTTCTACCATGCCCCGGAGTGGGGGATGGCGGCAATTGTTCTCCGGACACCGTGACTTGCCTGGAGAAAAATGTCACCTGATGATGGAGGATCAAACCCGGTCCGGCTGAGCCACAGCCGACGCGTTAGACCGCTTGGCCACCTAGTCCCCGTTTTATGTAGTAATTTTCATACTATAAAACATCATGATCTATTTATAAAAACACCTCCCAAATTTGTATTTTAAGTACAGCCTTGTTTACAATTTATAACTTAAAACTATAATACTTGAAGGAATGAAAATAATATATCAATGATATTATTTATGAATATCCGACACTACAGTTCTAATGTTTTAAAGTTACACACATTCTTAAAATACAAATAGTTCAAAAATGTTAAAGTAGTTTTTTCCACTAATATGACATGCGAGTAACATGTTTTAAATCTTCAATGTCAACCAACATTGAATCCTTTGCCATGTGTAATTCATCTCTTTCTAGTAATAAATTCACAAGGCTTTCGTTTAAGTCTAAAAAAAATATAAATATATATACTTCCACACTTTTTTAGATTAACAAGTTGACATATACTCACATTCAATGTAAGAATGTAGATCATTAACAATAACTTGTAATTGTGCCAAGTTCAGACGCATTAAAAAATGTCTACTGACACGTCTTCTATCATTGTCTAACTTCACTCCAACCTAAAAAAAATATATAGTTGATAATAGATTAAAATATTAGTTGAGATTAAATGAAAATGTATATTTAAACTGTTAACAAAACTTTTTTAGTATGTATTACATATAATTCAAATGACAAAAAAATATCTTTAAAAGGACACTACACTGACATTTGTTGTCTTCTTACAAGTGAGTAACAAACTAAATTTATGCTCAGCARATCATATTTAGCTTTGTTAGTTCAAAGAGTAAATTAGAGTAGATTGATATATTATAAAATTTGATGGTAAGAACATGATCTGCTAGTACATGGGTTGTTTTTAAAAAATATTTCAGTTTTTAAGTTGAATATTTTTAACCTTGCTATWWTATATACGCAAAAATGTATTAAATTGAACTATTGTAAAACATAAACATATAAAATTATAAACACAGATAATGTTCTTACCACCAAAGTTTCATAATAGATCAATTCACTCTAAATTTTAGTTCAAAGCTTAACATAATCTGCTGAGTGTAAATTTGRTATGTAAAACAGACACAACAAATGTCTGTGTAATATCCTCTTAAGAGGACGCTACACCCGCATTTGTTGTCTCCGTCTTACAAGTGCGTAACATTGCTAAAACTGTTTCGCGCGGGAAAGAACCGAGAAAGATACAGTTATAACTAAGAAACGAAATTTTCACCACATAAAAAGGAGAATTTTGACTGTGCAATATCGTTTTTATTTTTTCGATATCACTTATACAAATAAAATTCTTATTGTTTTATAATATATTAATTTTGTGTTTTTTAAGCATGAATAATTTTGTTTGTAGTTCTGATATCGAAAAAATAAAAACGATATTGCACAGACAAAATTCTCCTTTTTATGTGGTGAAAATTTTGTTTCTTAGTTATAACTGTAGCTTTCTCGGTTCTTTCCCGCGTGAAACAGTTTTTGCAATGTTACGCACTTATAAGACGGAGACAACACATGMGGGTGTAACGTCCTCTTAACAAAATATGATTAGTATAATATTATAGAACCATACTAAAATACCTCATAATTAACTAAACTTTAATCAACTATAACCATACACAGGACGAAATTGGACAAATTTGGCTAACTGAGTTTTTTGTGCTTTATCGTCACACTAACAAATTTAATATCAATAACACCTACAACCATATCTGTGCAAGTCCAACACTTAAACTCCTTTTTAAACACATTATCAGTCAGCAACCTGTAAAGCTATGACTTAAACGGCCTAAAATTGTCAGCCCACCGAGTTTTATTCTGTAACTCGCCTGGCCAATCCGGTCCTAACCATACAATATACATGTTATAATAACCATACTTTACAAAATTGTATTTAAAATAATATATAATAGGAAAATAACCAACATCTGAATATTAAGTTACACAATATAATAACTTACTTTTGAAAGACTTTCTTTAATTACAGCTGAAATTACACAATTGCGCTGATCTGAAATCATATGTGCTCGTGCTCGATTCTTTGCCAAATTCAAACCTTGTTTAAGTTCAGCCTAAAAATTAATTTGTTACTTAAATATTTTTAAAAATTTTTGTACACCTWAAATTCAGTACAAGGATTTAAAATTGAAAGTCAAATATTATACATACAACAGATTTTAGCTTCTCATCTTCAGCTGAGATGTCACAGCTATTAATTGGTAACTCCGTATCTGATGATTGTTCGTTCATAAAGCATAGCTGTAGATTAGAACCTATAGAATCGAATTTTATAACATTATGTTTATGGATACAGTTCATTATTTAGCTATAATTTAACATGAATTTATTAATTATTATTTATATACTATATTTTGAGTAAACAAATAAATTGTGATACAATGTACATAATGCAAGTCATATAGGTCAACAGTAATGCATATACCCATTCAGTGGCAGCTAGTGATATGGTACACAAGAGCATGTAAACATTGTAAACCACAAAAAAAATTATTTAAAAATTATTAGGTTCCAATAGTAATATTTAATTGATTATTATGCACATAGTTTGTAATAAAAAAAGTTTTGCCGTTTTTTATGTTAAAAAGTGTCTATAAATGATTAAATAATTCATGGAGCATAAATTGTTTGTAATCTGGGAGGCCGTGTAAATATTAGCTACATCTCTTGACACGTCAGTTAGTCATATATTATAGTTTAGAGTGCATTTAATGTGTGTATCAGACCTATTTTTWTCATGCATACAGCCTCGATATTGCATTGTTTGTYGAAACAATAATGCAYCAACGCACCATAGTCCAATGTATATAATCCATTAATTACCACCACTATGCTCTCATGTCAACTCATAACTAATAACTTATTAGTATTAAGTAATAAACTAATAACTATTGTAATGTCAACAATATACTATAAAAACAGATTAAAATAATATAGTTAAAAAAATTAATATCTTAGGCATTTTTCTGTACTCCATCTTATGTGAACCTCACAGCTGCCACTGTACCCATTATAACCATATAGCCAGTATAGTATTTTATAGTTTTAAATTGTTTTGAATGAAATGTCAACTGACCCACTTCTTGAATGAGTATTGTTTAAGATTTTAAGAAATATTTCAAAGTAATATTTCCACATAATAAAAATAATGAAATCAGTTAAAACCAGCACAGAACATATATTACAAATTTTTTGCAACTTATAGTTCAATATAAAATTTTACTCACCATTTTGTAATCTAGATTCTAAACTTGATTTTTTTGTCGACATTCTTGTGTTATGATAACCATCTACTAATCGTTTACGAATTTCTTCGCGKTCATTTTTTTTCTGAAACAAATACAAATTTTCAATATTAAGAAAAAAATTTAAAACAAGCATATTTTAATCAAAACTTAAAGTTGTTAAAGTCTGRTTATTATAATACTATATTCAGTTAATTAAAATTGTGTTTTTATTCTAGCAATTCCAGGATACCTATATGGGCTATGAAATAAATCAAATTTTCTGATATCAGAWGCAAAACATTAAGGTACTTAGATTTATATCTATGTCAATTTCTTAAATACTCTTCCACTATAATATGATCAACATCAAAATCAATTTCAATCAAAACGCTTTACCATATTATAAGTTTTGGTGTCTAAGGAATGCGTATAGTTGCTGTTGACCACTCCGTGCTCATTAACCATAGACATGTCGGTGAACTTGTGTATRAAATCGTTGTCTTCGTAATGGCTCGCAGGGTTCTGATATATGAAACAGCCTTTTTCCAGCTCTAGACACTTGTTGTTGTTCGGATAATAGGCGGTCTTGTTGTTGTGGCCGATCAGCATACGTTTRTGGGACTGGKTATCCTGATACTCGTTGTCATACAGCAGCGACTCCTTCAGGGCTATACCRTTGAAATAAATGTTCTCTTTGATGTAACGACTGTTCGCTCCGCCGGACTTGCCATAGTATCTGGGTCGCAGTTTTTCTTTGAACGTTGCCACTAGTGACGAATGATCCGACATTGTACGGTGATGAATGCACGACACGATTCGATCGTTAGACGCTCCAATGGATATGTCCCGTTACGTTTGAACGGGACACATTCAAAAGCCGTGCCACCGACGTCGTCTGTTAAAGATGATTTTTGTTCGACGGACTGCGAGTGTCGAAGGCCAAGGCCAAGGCGGCGTAGACGCTACCCAGTAATAATTATTATAATCATTAATCCCGACCGCCTTATCAATTATCAATGGAAATGTTTTTTTTTCTCCTTCTTGATAGCGGCAAGTCAATTTCKGCTTGGAGGTAAACGAAACAACATTTACCAATAATTGTCTTAATAATATATATTATAATATTATTTATTACGGAAGAGTAATATTTTTAACGTATTTGAGTACGATATTATATTTTGATACTTCTTAGTTGCGTTTTCTATTTGTCAGAAATCGCGAGCACACGAATATTGTGTTATTATCATATAATAATAATGTTGTTTTGCAGTCGCGCCAATAACATATAACCGGGTAGTCGTGTACTTGCACACATGCATTCACGACGTAATGGAGGATATCGATTTTTGGGGTGTTTTAATAACACTCGAGTGTGTATACATATATATATTATATATATATGCACGTCCGTGTCTTAATAATTGCGTGCTGAATTGCGGCGGACGTGAGTTTTCGGTTACACCCACAACTCGTGAGGGCGGCTATGTGACCTTTATATAGTGTTTCAAAATAATATTATAATATTGATATTTCTATAAGAAAATTGCAATAARATATTACGACTTACAAACGGCAATAAGTCATATAAATATTATATTATAATGTGTTATCGATATAGTTTTATTTTTAATAAAGYACAATATGTACATTGTMATATCGAGTACCTACATAATAATATACCTATACTATTATATAATTTTAATTTATCAACTCATTGCCTATTCTATGGTTAAAATTTCAAATTTGAAATAACTAAAATAAAAATAATAAATCACATTTCATTAAATACTTTATTAATTACTTATTTATTTAGTATATATTTATTTTTATATAGTTATAAACAATTAATTGTTGGTTCAGAGCGAAGTGTATTGGATCAGTAATAAATAATAATGCTTCGATTTTAAATTTTGAACGATAAAATGGTTTATATGGTAGCAAATTGGATTTTTGTATAGTTGACAGATGAGGCATCAATGTCACAAATTTCCCAGTATTTTTAAAAATAACCCAAAAAACATTTCTGATAAATTTGCAAAAATATGCAGAACATGTATGTATGTCTAAATATCCAAAAATATGTTGTATACAATTTTGATATTTAATCGGTAAAGTAAAGGTTTATGACTTTATGAATACTTATTCACTACATGTACAGGATGTTTAAAATAGCAACATGCATTTTATGCGAATCCTGGTCTTTACTTATAGGTTTAAGAGAATTTCGAGTTTTATTAGTTATTTATAATAAATTATTGTCGATTGAAAGTTATTAYWAGGTCAAAAATCTTGAAAATGTAATACAAACGTTMCTCATATATTGTTGTTAGTGAAAATTAAAAAAAAAGTTAAGCGCAAATCCACGATAATTTTTATGAGTGTCTGAAATTAAATTGTTGATAAAATTCATCAAAATTCTCGAAAATTAGCAAATTATTTCAAGTTAKAAGTTCATAGACATTTTCTATGCATACTTCTAAGATTTGAAATGTTTGTATACAATTCCCAGTTTTCCTATACATTTGACAAAAAAAAAACAAAGTTTACTAGAAAGTCAAATTATTTTTTTACAACGTTTGAAATTAGATATTAGATATTGTATGAATGGCAATAAAATCGTTTAATCTTGTATCATCATTAATATCTAGTGCCTTTTACACAACTACTCAATTATTAATTGATAKTACGCGCTTGGTAGTTATTTATTTATTACAACTGTTAGTTTAGAAATACAATTTAAATTTAATTACATAGTCAAATTGGGAATATTTTAAAAGTAAAGGGTGCAAGCGTACACCTTGACCCTCCCACCACAAAATTACGACACTGGTGCTTTGTGATCTGACTTTATTAAGTACCTAAAGCTTGAGAATGTACCTAATCTAATATATATTTAACTACTAACAATACTACTGATTTTTATTATTATATGAATAATTTGAGACCTTCAAGGTATTTGGTGTTTTAAAATAAATTTCATTCCCACTTTTCGCAAATGTTCACCTTTTACAATATAATAWGTTACAAATATAATATTGACGGTTGTTGAGGAAGGTCGAAATGGTCGAATGCAGTTTCGTGGAACATTATCGAGTAAACAATAGTTTTGGTTATGTAATAGCACAATGCAGCTTATGCTTGCGGATTATAATATACAGAATAATACAATGATTGAATATTAATAATAAAATATAAATTATAAACAATTATTTTGTGTGCCATTGTAATAATATTATTGTATTATTCAAAGTATATAATTGAGATATGGTTATTTATTGGCCATGATAAATATAGTAATATCAATATGTCAATAAATAAACAAACACCTATGTCTACGTAGAAATGTTAAAAATATAAAGAACGAAAGAACTACAAAACATATATTGGTAATTGGTATCTAAAGGCTACATTTAATTAATAAATACATTAATTTGTTATATTTATGTTAATAATTTCCAGGGAAATATACGTATCACGTACGCTTATTTAAAGTTTTAAACCCTAAATGCACCCAATACCCATATAATATGTGGCCAGCAGTGGCGTAGTTAGGAATTTAGTATGGGGAGGTGGGGATTATATGTTTTTAGGAAAATTTTTAAGCCTCATACAGTAACCTACACCACTAAGGCGCTAAACATAAAATGTTAGCAGTAAAATAAAAGTTTTTTGGGAGAATCTATCCCCCTCAACACCTCTTGATTACGCCCCTGGTAGCCAAGTCTGTATGAATAATTTAGACTATATCATATAGGCATATTAACTGATTAATATGTCTATGGCCTACCTATATATAGGTAAAGTACAAAAATACTAAATAATTTACGGTACTATTATGGCGGTATTTGACATTTATATCTCATTTATTTGGTTGTAAGTATTAGTAATGTAAAAATGTCTACACTCATATACCTTACACAAAGATTTAAACTACATATTTATACAAAAAATATTAAAATATGTAAAATGTAAATAAATAAATATTTTACACCACATAAATTAAAAAACTTAATATTTTTATTTCGATATGTGTTGCAGACTATAGTAAAAAACGTATGTTTTTATTTAAAAAAAAAATTCTATTGAATTTATCACCATATTTTATTATCTAATAATCCCTTAAGGCTTTCTTTTTAACATCTGCGGAAAAAATAACATCGAATGATTTAAAGTTACAAGAAATTATGTATATTTTTAAAATATCATCTAATTCTTTATCTAAATTATTATCGTAAACATAAATATATAATTTTAAAATTTAATTTGTCATATTGCTACTTATTATTATTACTGCTTTATAACCCAATGCCCTACAAGGAGGGTGTGTACAAGATGGGCTGTTGAACTTGAATTACAGTGTCCCGGATATTTAAGGGGCTCATTGAAATAAATATGTAATTTTTGAAGTTTTGAAATTTTGATATTTTAAATCATATTTCATACTGAATTAATTTTTAGGATCCGAAAAATATTTAGTACAGGAGTCCAAAATTTGATGTTATTGATATATTTTGCATTTTCTTTTTAATCAACTAAGAAAAAGTTCTTAAATCCAAATTATTATTAAATATGATGGTAGAAACAACAATGTATATTAGACCGTTAAATGAAAGTAAATGGCCAGTTGCTCACAATAATTGCGAGTGGGCTGAAACCTTAACCTAGCAGTCCAGACTTGTATGTAATACTATAATATTTTATTGAGAAATTATAATTATAATTATAAATTATAATCATATTTACTAAGTTATATAGGCAGGGGCGGGACTATTTAAAAGGCCACTGTGCTTGTATGCACAGTGCCGCATCAACCGGGGGTGCTAGGGCCACTAGGGGTGCAAAGAACCCCCAGGCCCCCTTTAAATCATAACAATGGGCCCCGAGGCCAGTAGCCGAACTATTTGAAACTTTTTTTGAAATTGAAAATTTCAGTKKTYYATAAATAWCTCAAAAAAAGTCAAAATATWTTGAAAATTAAATCATGTAAAGAAAATGCCAATCTTAATAACTGGTCAAATTTTCAAGTATCTACGACTTATACTTTTTGAATAATAACAAATGTTTAAAATCGTTTGAAGATAAATCGTTATCGTTACGCTATTTCGTAAAAATTTAAAATTCAAACGCACTTAAAACTTTTCCTAAAGTGATGCTTCGAGTTTTCTCTATAGCTACTTGAAGGAAAACTTAGTGTTGTATTTTTAATCCTTAGTTATAAACATAAAAAATTTTAGGATTTTTCAACTTCAAAATTACTTGCAAATTTTCGCGTTTTCGACAGATTTCGTAAAATTTTGAACTATAAACGCTTATGAAAAAAAATTGTGACTTATTTTTTTTTTTTTTTTTTAGCTACAATAAGAACAACTCATAAGGAACTTTGTATTCACTTTTCATGTTTTTATGGTCATCCAAATTTTTTTACTGACGCTTCAAAAAAAAATGCTCATAAAAATCGAAAATTTCAGTGGTCCATAAATAACTCAAAAAAAGTCAAAAYATTTTGAAAATTAAACAATATATAGATAACACTAACATAAACATTTGGTGAAAATTTCAAGTATTTACAGTGTTAAATTTTTGTATTACAACCATATAAAAAATCGATTTGGTCGAAAACTGGTTTTGCGTAAAAATTCCCGTTTTTCTGTTACTTTTTTGTTGTTGTTTCTCTCGATTTTATTTTTAAACTGTTGGAAAATGTTTACTTTTGACCTCTATGATGCACCAAGGATATTCACTTTTCCATCGGAAACCACCCTCAAAGTTTGAAATTGAAGCATTATTTGCTCCAAGCCAAGAGATGTTATATATATGATTTATGATTCAAATGTTAAATGTATGAAAACTAGGAATTTTGTTTAAAAATATAAAATATTAGATATGTATAGAAAATGTTTATGAATTTTTAACTTGAAATAATTTTTCAATTTTCGAGATTTTAATGAATTTTATGGGTTCAGTATGTACTATTTATGAGAGTTAGTTCTGTTAAATAGTTATAGGTACACTAACTGCAAATATTGAAGCATAAATACAATGGTGTTCTTTTGTAAAATTACAGAAATATTCATCTG